CCTCCGGCCAGCATGTAGCCCAGCGGGTGAGGAAGGCGGCCCAGAGGCCACGGGGCGCTGGGAGCCACATGGGCATCTGGGCCTGGGGGAGGACTGGCCGTGGCCAGAAACAAGACGCTGTGTGGGGTGTCAGTCAGCACCCACAGGAAGCGGGAACAGCACCCAGAGACTCTCCCCGTCCTGGAGCCTGAGTCCCAGGGCAGGTGCTGCGGGCTGGCTCCCCGAGGCCTCTCTCCTGGGCGTGTGGACGGCCACCTTCCCCTGGGTCCTCACGTGGCCGTCCCTCCGTGTATCCGTGTCCCATCTCCTCTTCTTTCTTTTTTCTTTAAGCTTTATTATTATTATTATTGATTTCAGAGAGAGAGATAGAAGCATCAATAACAAGAGAAAATCATTGATTGGCTGCCTCCTCACGCCCACACAGGTCCTCACACACATGTACACACACATAGGTCCTCACACACACAAACACACACAGGACCTCACACACATCCACACACACACACAGGCCTTTACACACACAGGTCCTCACACGCATGCATACACACAGGACCTCACACACAGGTCCTCACACACATGCACATACACACAGGATCTCACAAACACAGATCCTCACACACACACACGCACACACACAGGTTCTATACACACACACACACACACACACACACAGGTCCTCACACACATGCACATGCACACAGGACCTCACACAAATGCACATACACATAGGTCCTCACACACAGAGATCCTCACACACACAGGTTCTATACACACACATACACACAGGTCCTCACACACGTGTACACAGACATATAGGGCCTCACACACGTGCACACACAGGTCCTACACACACACAGGTCCTCACACACATTCACACACACACAGGACTTCACACACACAGGTCCTCACACACACACACAGGTCCTCGCACACACACAGGACCTCACACAGACACACAGGACCTCACACAGACACACAGGACCTCACACAGACACACAGGACCTCACACACACAGGTCCTCACACACACACACGCAGGTTCCATACACACACACATAGGTTCTCACACACACAGGTCCTCACACACACACACGCAGGTTCCATACACACACACATAGGTTCTCACACACACAGGTCCTCACACACACACAGAACCTCCACACACACACACGCAGGTTCCATACACACACACATAGGTTCTCACACACACAGGTCCTCACACACACACAAGCAGGTCCCATACACACACACATAGGTTCTCACACACACAGGTCCTCACGCACCTGCACATGCACACAGGACCTCACACACATGCACACACACACAGGACCTCACACACACAGGTTCTATACACACACACACAGGTCCTCACACACGTGTACACACAGGTCCTCACATACATGCACACACACACTCGGGCACTGCCCACTGGAACCTACCATACACCTTGTGCCTGAACCTTTCTCAGGCCCCTTTCTCCGGTGCCCGCCCTTCTCCAGTGCCCGCCCTTCTCCGGTGCCCGCCCTCCATGCATCCAGCAGCTCCCGCCCTCCTTCTGCTCGGTGCCTCTCCCCTGAGCACCCAGGGGAGCTCATGCGGCTCAGGAACCCATGCGACTGTCTCCCAGGAGCCCACAGCGACTCTGGCAGGGCCAGTCCCGCCCACACGGTGAAGGTGCTCAGGACCTGGCCTGAGACAATGCAGACAAGGCAGGGGGGAGAGGCGGGGGGAGGGGTGTCACAGCATCAGCATGACTGGTGGCTGCGTGACCTCCCACCTCCCTGTGTTCCTATCAAACTTCCAGCCGGGTTGGTTTTGTGTATCTGTCTGTTTTAGAGACAATTTCAAAGAGTAAGAGCAAGGGCTGCGAAGTGGTGGAAGACTCTGCCCTAAACACGAACACACACACCAAGGTCACTGAGGACACACCTTGCGCCCGGCGGGTGGCGCAGTTAGCTGGAGCGTCTTCCCAGGCACCAAAAAGATTGCGGGTTCCATTCCGCCAGGGCATGTACCCAGGTTTCAGGTTCAACCCTGGGCGGGGCGACCACGAGAGGCCAACTGCTCAATGTTTCTCTCTCACATCGATGTTTCTCTCCCTTGCTCCCTCCTCTTTCTCTAAAGTCAATGAAAACACACCCTCAGGTGAGGAGTAAAAGTAAAACGCATGTTGCTTGTGCTCAGACTACCAGCCCCACACACTCGGCGGCTAACGGGAACCTGGTGGGCAGCGCATGTGGCTTGTCAGGCGGTGGGAGCGCGTGGGGAAGCTTGGGAGGCCTGTGACCGGACGCCTAGCTCTCACCCCATGACAGTGAGCGGCGGGAGCCTGGCGGGACGACCTACTCACATCCTGGCCGATGCTGGAGGGAGATAGAGCACGGGAGCCGATGCACCGGCAGCCGTCTGCCTGGCTGACAAGTTTGGAAATAGGATCTTTGCCAATGGAATTCGGGTCAGGATCTTGAGATCACACTCGATGTGGGGTGGGTCCCAAGCCCAAGGACTGGTGGCCTCCAAAGACAGCCCTGGCTGGCTTGGCTCTGTGGATAGAGCGCCAGCCCATGGACTGAAAGGTCCCAGGTTGGATTCCAGTCGAGGGCAGGTTCCTTGGTTGCAGGCTCAATCCCTGGCCTGATCAGGGCGAGTGTGGGAAGCAACCATTCGATGTGTCTCTCTTACATTGATGTTTCCTCTCTCTCTGTCTCACCCCCTCCCTTCCACTCTCTCTAAAATTCAATGGAAAAAATATCGTCGGGTGAGGATTAACAGCAAACAAACAAACAAGAAGACATGGCACCAAGATGCCTGGGAGCAGGCTGCGCGCAGACAGAGGTGGAAGCTGGCGTGGTGTCCAGCCCCAGACGCCGGAGCCCCCACGGAGCGCTGCCCCCTCGCTCACACCCCGGCTGACTGCTGCTTCCAGATGTGTGCAAACTCACTCCTGTGGTTTTAAGGCACCACATTGTGACAGGAGCTGCAGGGCATTGGGACGGCTGGCAGCCGAGTTCTCCAACCTCCGAAGGCACAAGCCTGAGGGCGATAGCTCTTGGACTCAAGGAGGGGTGATCAACCGAAGACCTTGTGTGCATATATGCATGGCCCATGGACACAGACAGTGTGGAGTGAGGGCCGGTGGCGGGGGTGGGGGTGGCCTAGAAGGGGGTCAAGGGGGGAAAGGGGACATATGTAATACTTTCAACAATAAAGATTTTATAAATAAATAAATAAATAAATAAATTTATGTTAAATGAAGGACGTGATAAGCAACGCGAAGGGACGGGGACTAACGGGGAGGAGGTCGTCCCATGTTTAACGGTCACCAGGGATCAGCGTTCGGAATGACTGCCTTGCAGATTCCCAAGACCCTGCCAATGAGCTCGCGTGTCTCTTGTGTCACACCGTCTTCGAAGGCGGCCGGTCATTGGACTCGGGACCCATCCCAAATCAAGTGCGATCTCGAGATCCCGAACTGAATTTCACTGGCAAAGACCCTGTTTCCAAACGGTCAACAGGGCAGATGGCTGCCGGCGCCATTGGCTCCCCTGCTCCACCCGCCACCGGCACCATCAGCTCCCAGGCTCCATCTCCCACCGTGTTGGCGGCCTCAGGATGTAAAATGCCAAGAACACCTTTAGGAAATGAGGTGAGGACAAGCACAGGGAGGGACCAGGGTGCCTGAGTGCCTGCAGACACACAAGTTCATAGCAATGGGAGCGCATTAGCAATGGGAGCGCGTTGGCAATGGGAGCATTGATATCAGGACAGGAGGCGCGCTGCGGCCTCCAAGTGACGGTTTCCGGAGATCAGGACACAGTACCCTCCCAGGAAGGCAGGGCCCATGTTCAGGGCCACCCTGGGTGCAAAGGATGGCAGGAAGCCTGGGGTGGCTCCATCAGTGCCAGGAAGGAGGTGGGCCCAGGGAGACACATGCATATGTGCATGTCACACAGCTGCAGGCACCCACACATGTGTGTACACATGTATGAACACAGAAACACTCACATCATACAGACACATGCATCCACACATGTGCACAGAGAGATCTGTTCATGTCACACAGGTGCACACACATGCACACCTGTATGCACACAGCAAGGCACATGCATGTCATACAGATGCTTACACACGTGCAC